TAAACTAAGTAAGAGAGGTTACTGGTACAAGATTGCTCATGTCTTAGGACTGAATTTGGGTCAGCGTGTGCCTCCTAGTTTGATCTTTTCTGTTAGGAAATGAATGAGGACTGAGGGTAAGCCTACGGGAAAGAGAGTAATCAGCTGCCAAATTCAGTTCAATTTGTTTTTCATGTCTAGGGGTTTTTTGTGTGTGTGGTTTTATTAAACAAATCAATATAAACAAGTTCTGCAGAGAGAAACACCATTTTTTTTGGCCAGAAAAAGGTCTCCATGCAGGAAAAACACATAGGGGCTGTCCAAATATTTTCATTTTTGCACAATAAGGTCATTTTGTCTGCATGAGCCTGATTCTCTCATTTCTTGCAGGTGAACAGGCCTCTGACCATGAAAAAGGAAGGAATTCAGACCAGGAATAGGAAAATGTCCAACAAATCAAAGAAAAGCAAGAAAGGCTCCGAGTGTTTTGAGGAACTGTCCAAGTGCATGCAGGAGAAATCGTCTCCCTTCAGCGCTGCGGCCCTTGCTAGTCACATGGCACCCATGGGGCATTTGCCACCTTTCAGCCACTCTGGACACATCCTACCCACACCTACCCCCATCCACCCATCTTCCAGCATCTCATTTGGACATCCACACCCATCCAGCATGGTTACAGCCATGGGATAAAACGCAATCACCAAGAGACCCAGCCAGAGATTAAGAACATGGGGCTTTGCCTAAGACAACACCAAGTAAGAAAATGTTCTGCCAAGAGGAGAATGTAGGGATGGCAAAGGGGATCTTTGCTCCCATGTGGTTTCACTCTTAATGCTGGACTAAAACCTTGCAAATGATGGGTCTTCTGCAGAAACGTGTAGTGGTGCCTGTAATGCACTTTGCCCCCTCAGGTATAAGGAAAAAGAACTCACCTGTTCGATACTTAATGGCCCAGCAGGAAGCAAAAGGTGGCAGAAGCTGAAGGAAAAGGCTTGGAACTGGCTTTCCTTTCTCTCTTTGTTATTACTGTGAATATTGTAAAGAGATATAAGCAGCCTCCCAGGATGAAATCGGCTCACTGGAAGCCAGACATGCTGGATTTCTATTGTGGACTTTGTTTGGGATGGGAAAAATAAAGAAAAAAGAAAAAAAAAAGGACATCTTTATAAAAATGTAATTTTTAAAATGAAATCAGACACAAAGTCATATTTATTTTACTCTTGTTTTCCACAAAAAGCCTCAGCCCTCTGATTGCATGTTTTTGTGCTGTTGTTTGCAATAGCTACCCTGTAAGAAAATCTGCCTTCAAAATAAGGGGGAGAGGAGGGAACATGTTAAGCAGCCCCCTTGGATTAGCTCCATCTATCTTCCATACCGAAATATCTACTAGGAAGGGGGAAAAGGCTGGAGGGTAACAAAGCAAAAATGTAACCGTAATACAGGATTTTAATGGGCCCAAGATGGTGATTATTTTGACACAATTTTTTCATTCTTCTCCATAACATGAAAGATTTATTTTAAAAAAACAGCTCCTCCTCCCAACTACCCTATTATTCCTCAAAACAGCCAGCCAGATCAGCCAAACTGTTGGGGAAAAACTCTCGGGAAGGCAATCCTGCACTAGTGAGGGGTGAGATACGGGCATTTATCAATTGTGTCACAGCTAACTTCTAGCACAGCAAAAACCATCACAGGGCATAAAAACATCCAACTCGCAGACTTTAGAGGTTGAAGCATTTTGTTCTGTTGTGTTGGCAGCTGTCGCTTAAAAATGCAGATTAGCTGCTTGGGTAAACTTACGGCAGTGTGGCCACCATGTCCCCACACAGCCAGCCAGCGCGTGTGCTGTCTCAGGCATCCAGGCCCCGGTGGACTTCACAGGGAGGAAGGGCAGAAATGAGGTTGAGATCACTGGAGAGGGGAAAGAGAGAGACAATCAGTTTGAGCTTCACACATCCGTCAAATCCCAGACGCAGCGACAGCTGATGAGACGAGGGAAAGCGCCGTTCTAAAGTGAACGTCTGTTTTCCGTAGCGTATTTTATATGAAAAAAAAAACCACAAAACAAAAAAAATTAAAAAATTTAAATCTCCCATTATTAAACTATATTGTGCGTAAATGACCGAAAACAAAGCTATTACCAATGTGAAGTGTATTCTATTGATTGTTATGATCTGATGCCTCTCGTGAACACAAGCTCCAGTATAACATAACAATGTACATATTTAGCTATACTTCTGATGAAAATGCCCCGATGAACAGAGGGGTTTGATAATGTAAACCACGTAAGCTTAACTCTGTGACAAGCTTCTTAATTTTTTTTTTTTATTTTTAACTTTTTTGTTGTTGGGATTTTTCTTTTTTTTTTTTTTGGATCAAGCCAATTATATCTTTACTGCAAAAGTCCTGCTTTGAAGAAAAAAAAAACAACGAAAAATAAAAATGGATGTACGTTAATTTTTTTCTAAACTTGTAATTAAAATATTTGATAATGAACTAAGAACCAAGCAGCCATGAAAATCCTGCTTTCCTCCTTTTTCTGGTCTGCATAGGCATATAGGTGCACTTTGTAAAGAAGTGGAAATAAACGGGAAACTAAATTGGTTGGGAGAAATCGTAAGAATTTTTAATCTACTGAGGTAAAAAATTGGGTCCTTTTTACTTTTTACCTTTTACTATGGTACAGTTGTACATTATTTGTACCCAACTCAAATTTCTGTAGGATTTGGGCAAGGGGGCGGGGAAGGGGTGTGGGTGAAAGACAGGGATTACTGATAACAGTTGACAAAGTGCAATATATTGTCAGTCACTGCAGCATAGACAACGGCAGCCAAGATTTAAATTATTTTGTACTTGTATCAGCATAAAAAAAAATCTGCAGTATTTTCTGTTTTTATTTTAATTTTTTAATTTTGCTTATTTTTGGATTAGTGAACTAAGTTATTGTTAATTATGTACAACATGTTTATATATTGTCTGTAAAAAGTGTATGCTTTCCTCATATTCCTTCAAGGTGAATATTGCTAAGAATAATAAAATACCTTTTTTGTGAAAGTACCTGTGCTCAGCTTCATGTCATAAAGGCTGCTTTTAATAAGGAGAGAGGAAAAATTGTTGTCATTGTTGCCAGCTGAATTATTATCTTAAAATTAATGCAGAGCAGTCTATTGATATTTCAAAAACCTACCCAGGTAGGATGAAAAAAGTAGTTGGTGAATGATTTAGTATAAAAAGCACAGGTACAAAAGCTCATTCTCCGGTGTTGTTTCGGGGTGATGAGGTCATGCAGTTAAGTGCGCTAAAGTTTCTAAACCAGTTTAAAATCTAAGGCAGCACCACAATGCAGATGATGAACTGCTGTTTCTCTAGGGTTTTTTTTTGTAGGGTTTTTTAGGTTGTCTTTTTAAATGTTTGGAGAAATACTTTTCAATTAAAAACAAGTTTTAAAAGGACGATAAACGCGGAAAAGAAGCCAGCTGCTTAATGGGTTTCGAGGCAGGGCCTGTATTAGATGGGGCAAAGTTCTCTGTAGTTCTTGTGCTGCTGCAACACGCAACACCCTCAACCTGGAAACCTGTTTCTTACTGTCTGGCGTCATCCATGGGGTGAAGGGAGCAAAGTGGGATGGCCAGCCCAGAGCTGCCTGGGTGCTGTCTTGGGAACTGCTGACAAGGGGTGCAGCCGTGGGTGCAGGGGGTGTGCACACAGGCTGGCATGTGAGGATGGAGAAGAGGGCTTACCAGGCAGTTCACCCATGGCCAAAACTTTGCGGTGCTTTCATCACACTGTCGAGACTGACCCACACGAGGAAGTCCTTGGGGCTTTACAAAGTAAAGCAAAGTCTTGCAAAGTCCCTCTGCCATGTGTGGGGGTGAGCGCTGCTGCTATTAAAACAATGTTTTCAAGAAAACTGCTATTGAACTTTGGGGTTCCTCCTTTGACCCCCTGGGAGTTGCATCTCACTTCTGTGGAAACCAGCTTGGGGATAACGCCTTACTCATTAAGAAAAAAAAATAAAAATAACCTGAGTTCCTTTTTCAGCATGTGTGTGTGCAAATTCCATCCCTTTCTATCACTGCTTCTCTTTAACAGTGCAGCCTCCTCCCCAGCCCTGTTTGCAAGCCCTGCATGTGAATGACAAGGAGTTGTGGCAACTCGAGATGTGCTGAAGAAAGCACACGCAACCGGGACGAGGCCTTCCCACATCATTTCAGATGAGTTAATCATCTCTCTATAACTTGTTTAGCGAGGCTTAGTGCAAACACCCATTAAAAAAGAAAAAAAAAAAAAAAAAAGCAGTTTATAGCATACCATGCAAGCTCCATTTAAAAAGAAACATGTTCATTTTCAGACAGGTTTAAAATGAGGTTATAACTAAACTCAGCCACTCTCCCTCCATATTTGAATAGCTGAGACAAGGAGAGAAGAGGAGAACTAACATCATCACTTTAAAACAATTTAGAATAATCAAGCTATTTGCTTTGGTCGCACGTTACACCTCTGTTCAGACTTTGATGGGGTCTTACCTTGGTGTTGTGTCTCTGCAGGCATTTCGCCGAATCGGTCCAATCTGCTCACAAAATCAAGGCCATAATCCACCGGTTTGTCAGGAGGGTGCTGCAGACCCCCAGCGCCCGGAGGAGTACGGCTCTTCTGAGTGGGGTCTTCAGCAGTTCCTGCAACACAGATAACAAATAATCCCATGTTTGTCAGGTGGCACTAATCTGTGAAAGATCAAACTATCTTTCTGCAACGCGTATATCATGTTTGTCTCCAGACATTTTGCATAGCGGAAGAAAAACAAACAGCAGGGAATGGAAATGGAGCAAGTGTGTAAAGTTCAACGTAAAGTGTAAGCACAGAGAGTAGATATCAAGGCAACAAATTGGGATTTACGGTCCTTTCACTACCGCCAAACACTGGGGGACAGGCTTTTTGCGAGGGGGGAACTCTGACATCACTTGCCTTTGGTTCCCGTTGTTGGGATTATTGTTTTAAGCCGTGCTTAATTGTCATGTCTCCACGGCCACATCAAAAGCCAAGAAGATTAGGTTACAGGGAGTGTTTGATGTCAAAATACAAAATAAATAAAAGGAAAGCTGAAAAGGTACCATATTTTCCATGATGTCTAGTTAGGTTCTTGCCTCAAACATATCTTTTTCTTTTTTTATTTTGCAAAGGTTGCAGTTTTAGTGACAAGATTTCATTTACTTACTTCCAAATGACTCCACCGTTTTCCTGCAACAACTCGAAAGGGTTAATATCCCCTCTTTGATGGCAAACATGGTATAATTAACGCAAACTTCTTAAGTATCCCGGTGACCTGTAGATGGCCACATGAGAATTTTGTTATTTACTGACTTGCCAAACGTTTATTGCTTATAGCAGGACAAGTGGGAAGCAGGCATTAATTTTGATGCTGTTATCTGTGATTGCGCATAAAGTTCATAGCAGAGAGTACCTATATGTCAACTGCAATTAAATATTTTCCTCTTTTTTTTTTTTTTAAATGAATTTCTTGTTTGTGGAGGGGGTGGACTGGCAGCTCTGCAAACTGAAATCCTGCCCATCCACAGAGCAGGCATGACACAGCCAGACAGAGGACAACTTCCCCTTACCTGCAGGCTGCAAAAGAAAACAGTCTGGCGCCATGGAGCATTTGATCCTTGGCTTCTCCACAGAGACAGTCAAATCAGTACCAACTGTGACAGGGCACGGAGGGAGATTTTGTGGTGTGACATCTCCCCTTGGAAGCCAGCCTGAAAAACACCAAAAATGAAGCCAAAAGTGGCTATCAGGTGAATATATTCATTTATCACCAACCTGGACTGGATTAGAATGCATGACCTAGAAGTAAAATGCCTTGTTTAGCCCAACTCTCTGGGCCATCTGGTCCTCGCAAGTAAACATTTCTAAGTGAGATTAAGTGACTGTTCTTTAAGCATTGTGATATGAGTGCAAACCAGGCTGCTCTGGATCTAACAGATCAAACCTGAGTATCAGGGCAGCCGGCTGGTGCCGATTCAGAAACACCATTTGCTTGAACAGCTTTGGGTGCAATTCTCTGTGGTATCGGCTTTGCAGTCATTCCTGATTCAGTCTGATGTGTCCCTGTCAGATCCAGAGCTTGTCCTAAATCCAGGGCTCAAATTGCACCAAGGTGCTGCTGGGAGGTCGAAGGCCCCATTGGAGGAAACTTATGGAAGAAACTGCAGTAAGAACTACACTGC